AATGTGACCAAAGAAATTGACAGCAAAATGTTCTTTGCGGTGAAAGGGTTTATTACCCGGCTTGTTATCCTGGTGATAGGTCAAGCACTAGCGTCTCTGCCTCCAGTCAGAGCACTGGGCTGAGCTCTCTATATAGTGCAATAATAGGTTATTGCCTAAGGGTGTGTAACCAACAGGCCAGTTACATCATCAGGTGGTTTAAGTTCAGTGAGGATCCTGGCCATAGGAACACCAGCTTCCCCACACTCCACCCCTCCAGGATTCTCGCCTTACGATCTATACGCTTTCAATCTTCCGCAATGGTCCCTGTGTGAGAAAGCTGGAGCATTGTAAGCAGATTCCACAACAGCAACAGAGGATAACAACAACTTAGAGAGAATAACAAAAATTAAGATACAAGATTTCGATACAGATAACAAAAATCATAATAATCCTCAAGCCAGAGGAGGTTTCCTAATAACAAAAGTTATAATAAGCCTCAAGCCCAAGGAAGTTTCCAATCCAGAAAGACCTTAGAGGCAATAAGACATATGTTTTAATGACACCAACATAGGCAAATCTTGTCCATCAGGTAGGATGCATGCAAGAGAGGGGTCCTGTAATAGGACTGTAGCAGGAAGGGGGTCCCTTCCAGGTCTAGTATGCCATATTTTTACTCCTTTCCCCGTGGGGGTTACTGAAGGGTCTATAAATAGTGCTACTGGAGGTGCATGCACTGGCCATAATGATAAAACAAAATTCCCCAGTAAGATGCTCCTACTTTCGGGCCATTCAGGATATACTACTGGATCTTTGGTGCCCACTCTGCTGTTATTCCAGGAATACACAGGAAGCCAGCTTCCAGGCCTTGTCCCCAAGGTGCCAGGAGAGCCAGCCATCGTTGGTCCATGTGTCGAAAGGTCCAAGGCCACGTCCACTCAATGGAGTCTCTGGGGTTCCATGCAGTTGGTGCTGGCAGCAAGATAGTATTCTGGTGGCCAAATCTCAGCTTCAGTGATTCTTCCTTGGTTTGTACTTGCAGTTGTACAGGGGAGGCAGCCATATGTGTTAACATGTCTATGGGGCTCAGGGCTACCTTTCAGTGTCTCTTCATTCAAACACTGTAACATGGTCCCCACAGACTATTGGTATCTGACTTTAGTCCAGGATTTAACAAGCCACTGTGCCTCTCTATCTTGCCTGCTGTGGTAGGATTGTTTGGTACATGAAAGTTCCATTTGATTCCCAGCTGTTGCACCCATTCTTGCAGTGTATGTCCAGTAAAATGGGTGCCCTGATCACTTTCAATTACCTGTGGTCGGCCATTGGTAGCAAAGAGACACTCTAGATCTCTTTTGGTCATCTGCTGGTCTGCACAACGGGTAGGAAAAGCAACCAGAAGTCCAGTAGCTGTGTGCACACAAGTCATAGCATACCAATATCTTTCCGACACAGGTAGAGGCCCAATATACTCTATCTGCCACCTGATGAGGGGTATAGACCCCTTAGCTATTGTTCCATGTTGCTGTGGAACTCAGAGTAAGTCCCTTTTGGAGCACACGACACACTCCTGCCAGACTTTGCTAACTTCTTCAAAGGTCAAAGGCAAGCCTCACCGACGGGCTACAGCCCACATTTTTCTTTTGCCCCACATGCAACAAACACTGATATAACCATTGGGCTATATCGGAGGCAGGCTTTCCTTCTAACCAATGTATCTGGGCCAATTTATCTGCTTCATCATTTCCTGGGGATGCCAGTGGCAAATGACCTGTCACATGGTATACTGTAATTATTTTAGTCTGACCACAGGCCCATAAGTCTTGCCACAATTCTTGCCCCCAAAGGAGTCAGTGACCAACCAGCCAGTTGGCATGGTACCAGGTGGTAGCCACGGGGTCAAGCCCCAAAAGACAGCCCAGTTGTCAGTGCAGACAATTGTAGGAAAGGGCTCCTGGCTTATCACAAGCCACACAGCCCGCAACTCTGTCCATTGGCTGCTCTTCCCCTCACCATCTTCCATCCATATTGTCTCAGTCTTAGGATGGAAAACTATGGCCCTCCATTTTGAGGGCTGCCCATGGCTGGAGCCATCTATGTACCATGCATCTGCAGGTATAGGGGCTGGGATGAAAACTGAAGTCAGATAGGGACTCTTTGCTACTAATGGTTCAAAAGCAAGTTCTTCCTGCTTTTCACCAGTGTATGTCACCAGCCCCAATAAGTGTTGGAGTTCTTCAGTCAAGGGGTTACTAGAGAAGGCACTAGGCTGCTATAGGTAAGCAGCCCACTTGGTCAGTATGGGCGTTTATGCCACACCACTCCTTGGCTTTTGGGTCCAGTCTCATACCCACACCAAGATGGGATAGGTGGTTACTCTCTTTATCGGAGCCATTCCAGTGATGGGCTCTGTAGCCAGCAAGGCATGATACACGGCAGCCAGTTGTTTTTCTATCAAAATGAATCATACCTCTGCCCCCTTCCAAAGTTGTGACCAGAATCCAATAGGTTGATGAGTTCATTCAAGCTGCTGCCGGAGACCCCAGCCATAACTGACTTCAGTCACATGAACATCCAGCTCACAGGACCTTGATGGGTCTATCACACTCAAGGCCTGCATGGCCTTGACAGCCCATTTTGCTGTCGTAAAGGGAGATAAACATGTCCCATCCCAGTCCCACCTGATGCCCTTTCATACTAACCAGTGTAAGGGCTTCAGAATTTGTGCCAAGTGCAGGATAAACACTCTCCAGTAGCCTAGAAGACCCAGAAACTCCTGTACCAATGCAACAGTTGTAGGGGTAGGAAAGGTCTGGACTTTATCTATAACTGCTTCTGGTATAATTTGGTCTTACCCGACCAGATGACCCCCAAGAATTTGACAGACAAACCAGGTCCCTGAACCTTGGTACTGTTCACAGCCCATCCTTTCTCCTGTAGATGTTGCAGCAGTCTAAGTGCTGCACCTTCTAGATCTGGAAGAGAATCTGATGTAAGCATGACATCATCTATATAATGGTACAGCTGCACCATTGATGGTTTCTCCTGTGTAGCCAAGTCCTGGGCTACAAGTCCATGACAGATGGTGGGGCTGTGGAGGTATCCCTGTGGATGGACAGTGAAAGTCCATTGTCATCCTTCCCATGTGAAGGCAAACTGTTCCTGACCTTCCTGCTCAATGTCAATGGAAAAAAATGGATTAGCAAGATCTACCACATAATGGTATGTTTCTAGTTCATGGCTGAGGGTATCCATCAAGCCTGCAATAGAGGGGACAGCAGCATGCATAGGGGGTATGACTTTATTCAGTTCTCTGTAATCCACAGTCATACACCAGGAGCCATCCAGCCTTTTTACTAGCCACATGGGTAATTGAAAGGACTATGGGTGGGCTTTATAATACCCACCTTTTCCAGCTCCTGGAGAGTTTCTCCAATCTCTTTATGCCCTCCAGGCAGTTTGTATTGTTTGGAATTAGTCACCTGCCGAGGCACAGGCGAAGCTATGGGCGGGTGCCTAGCATGTCCTCTCAGAACTGCCTTCACAACATGTACTCTGTCTGAACTCACCTGCAGTGGTCTGTAACCATAGACACTGCAGGATATCAATCCCCAAAATATACTCAGGGATAGGATGTGTATATACACAGTATACTCTTTTGGGGGTAGATGCCCTATTCCCAAAGGGATTTGGGCTTGTTTCACTCTGATAGCCTTCCCCCCATATCCATCTATGATAGTGGGGGTCCCGGAGAACTGCTCAGGGTTACCATGAATCAGTGAACATTCAGCCCCTCTGTCCACCAGAGCCAGGACACATTGTATGTTCACTGGGGACCAATGGATAGCTATTTCAACATGTGGCCTCCAGTATCCACCTAGTCCTTAAGGGAAGATACCTCAACCTTTCCCTCAGTCAAACCTTGTTCCCCAATTATCTTCCTGTGTGGGCTCTAGTGAGGTTGGCTCACTCTCCATCAGCAAACAAACAGGCTGGACTTGTGGCTCTGTCTTTGACCTCAATGGCTAGAACTGCTGCTCTGGTTTCAGTTGTTGCCATAGCTCTAGTAAGATCCTATTTGACTTCCCATCTAATTTCCTTCCATCTGCTCCTGCCCATATTAAATCAACCCATATCTGGGTCCTCATAACCTTCATGTGGCCTTTTAAATTCTTCTTGTGAGTAGCAGACCTTATTTCTTTCCATGTTCTCATGCTTCAGCCCCTCCTAAGTCTGCTACTGTATGTATCACCTCGTTTATGGGATGTCCTAAGTGAGGGGAAAGAATGGCCACTAGAGACACAAAGAGGGATGTGGGACCGTTTGAAGCACAATATTTCTCATCCCAGTTAGTGAAAATCTCTTCATGTAGGCCGTAATTCTCTGGACTATGAATGGCATTTCTTATGCCTAGCTCTTGTGTCACCTGTTGGAGCTCAGCATATGTCTACCATCTAACAGGAGAGGATGGCAGATCACCCGGATTGGGCCACACAGCATGAAGTACAGCCATAAGCCACAAGGAGTCACTCCCTTCCTGGGGTCTGATGTGCATTTTGTAATTGCTGCCTCAAGGCAAACTGCACTGTCAGGGAAGACAGCTTTCCCATCTCTGATCCCAACAGAACAATTCCATCCACCCCTAAGTCCCACAGACGCAGGAGCCAAGCTGACATTGACTTCCAGGGCTTCTGCCTAAACCGGGAGCCCAAGTTCACCAGCTCAGCCTGAGTGTGGGGGTGGACCATAGAGTGCTCCACGACCTGGGGAGGGGGCTGCTCCTCTCCTTGAGGAACTTTCAGCTGATGGGTCTTTATTTTCTTTACAACCACTGGGCATGCTTTCAATACAGGAGGCACCAGTGCCTCTGGCACCACCCCTTCATCCTTCCCCAGCTCCTCCATTTCAGGGGCTGATGGCACCTTTCTCTCCCCTTCCCTGAGTGCCTCCTCTGCTACAACCTTTACCTTTTCTACTGTGCCTCACAGCAATGCTACCTCAGTCTTCAGCAGCTCTCTTACCTTCACCTCAGTGCTTCGTAGGTGATGTTCTCATGCCACCTCCACCTGTGCTTCCCTCAGGAGTTAGTCCTTTCCCTTGATGGCCTCTTCCTCCTTCAGAGGACCTGGCACAGGAGAGCAGAGTTAGAAGCGCGCTCTCCAGTCGAGGTCTCACCAGGTGTGCAGGGCCTTCTCCCTGCATTGGACTGTGGGCATCGGTGTTACTGCATCTCATTCTGTAAGGAATCTTTTCCCTCTTCAATGGCACCTCACTGCCAGCATTCTCGTGCTGCCTCCTCTCACATTGATGCCATCTCCCTCCTCAGGGAATCCACAGAAGTTTGCAGCTTGCATTCTTGTGCCTAATTTCTTGGGTCTTTTTCAGGAGCATGTTCTTCTCCTGTAGACCTTTTTAACACTGTGAGAAGCAGCCAACCCACAGCCCCCACTGCCTCACGGGCACTCTGTTTCTCAAAGGATGTGCTTACTACACCAAGGGCCACCCCTACAGCCTCAGGTGTCACCTCCACTTGCCTGGGTGAGGCCCTACGAGGCAAGCCACCTCAGACCACATACCCATTGGGGGATGATCCACTGTTTCCCCATTCACAGGGGCAGCCTGCTGAAGTACCCCTCCCATAGGGCAGCCTGTCTTTTTCCTTGTTCAACAATGAATCCTGCCGACTATGCCAATTGTCTTGCCGATGGGTTTCAACCCCAGGCAAGTTCACTATGGATTCAGTGTGACCAAAGAATTTGACAGCAAAATGGTCTTTGGGGTGAAAGGGTTTACTACTCAGCTTATTCTACCAGCAGCAGGTCAAGCACTAGAGTCTGCCTCCACCCAGGCACTGGGCCGAACTCTATATATAGCACAAGAATAGCTTATTGCCTAAAGGTGTGGAAGTAGGAGCCTAGCACAGGCCAGTTACATCATCAGGTGGTTTAAGTTCAGTGAGGATCCTGGCCATAGGAACCCCACTTCCCCAAACTCCCTCTCCCACCCCCTGCTCCTATCTCCCCTTATACAAAATTGGAATAAAAATAGAACTATCTCAAGTTTCTTATGGGGCTAAATGAGTTCAAGGGTCTAAAATGCTTAGAACAGTGTTGGTTTCTTTACAAGTACTCAATAAACACTAGCTGTGGTTTTCAAGTATATAAAAATGACAAGCTGGGACTACTTTTAAGTTTGGGTATGAAAACTGGAGAGAAAATGAAGTCATAATCAGATAGACAGCAGAGATTTGGGAGTTAATTTCAGAGAGGTAAAAGATGAATATGCTGGAGGAAAAGAAGCGGTTGTCCAAGAGAGACAGGTTGAGTATATAGACAAGAGAGGGATTAATTGATGGAGTAATATTGATACACTGCAGTCCAATCCAGGGAGATGTCCCTGCACACTTGGTGAGACCTCAACCAGAGAGTGGGCTTCTAAATCTGATCAATAAAAATTCACGAATACTTTGGGTGAGTGTAAGAAAGGAAGGAATTCATTAGAGTGAGAGTAGTAACACATGGCAGCAGCCCTCCAGGCAGCTGAGAGGAGGGAAGTGCAGAGGGAAGGACGGGAAGTTTGTTGAACTCCTACATGGCCTGGGACAGATTCCTTTGCCAACTCCTGAAGCCAGGGTCACCTGGCATCCCGTGTCCACTTGGATCTGCATGGCGTGGGGACCAGCCCCTACCACTCCAGGACTTGGGGAGCCACAGAGCATGGGATAGAGTGACATTGTAGTCTGAGAACTTTGCAAAGAAAGGAGATTTCAGTCAGGCTACTAAGAGCAGATCTCTCAGCTGCTATTCAATCCAGGTCACCCAGGCAATGGGAACCTACAGGGCCATATCAGAGCTCTCAGCAGCTCCTCCCTACTGATCCGGTAGTGGTTACCCTCAGGCACTGGGAACATGTTAGTGAAGACTGCTGGCCTTGCCTTAAGATAAGTTGTTGGCTAATTACCAAAGACTGTGTTAAGAATCTTACTTGTCAACTCTCTGCTTTTAAAATGGAATCTTGGCCTTAAGATGGAGTCCCTCCTGTTCTTACTATGCCATTTATATCTCAGCATTTGTAGGAAAATTAATCATGATGCTTGTCCCATGTCTCTGCCCTGTCTCAGTATTAATGAGAAGATGAGGGAGGATGGAATTCATAGAAGAGGTAGATGGATGGATGAACCTTGGATAGGAGGGGCTTCTTATTTCCAGGGCTGGGAGTAGCGTCGGGGGGAGTAAGTGCGGAAAAGCTAATGATGCACATCTTCATGGGTGGGGAGCAGGAAGTTGAAGGCATTCAAGACTAACAGCTAATTGTCTTTGTTATATAGGGACAGCTCAGCTGGTGGGAGGAAAGCGGCAGCAGGAGTGAGGAATGGAATAGGACCGATAAATGAAGTAGTTACATAGCAGCAACTTCTGGAGGCAAGATGACACTAGTCAGAATGTATAGTCTGACAAAAGGGGTGAGAATTCTGCTATGATCAGAAATTGTGCTCACGTAGTGAGAGACTAGTGTTTGCTTCTGCAAGTGGAACATTTCCAAGTGATGACAAGTCTAAGGTGAACCATTTGAAAATTTTTGTAGTCTGGAGTATGAAGTTAGAATGTAAAATGATTCTTTACCCCAACTAAATGATTGACTATACCCATACTTTTCCTGACTTATTAAATCATCTTTCTCTTTCTTAAAAATGTGAAATGCTATTGGAAAGGGAGACTTTTAGAGATGGGTTAGAGCCTATCCCTATACCGTCCAGTCTGGCCTTGAATAAACTTATAGATGGGAAATTCACTTTTTGTAGGGCTGACCATTCTATTTTGGAGTAGTCTGGACTCCATTAATATTGAAACATAAGTGCTAGAATATAGATCTTATCTAGTTATTATGGTCACACAAAAAGCCCTCCCATCCTACATGCCCATTTACAGTGCTCTTTTGTTATTTTTCCCATCAGGAGGCAAAATCTATCCCTTCCCCTTGAATCTGAGCCTGACTTGTGAATTGCTTTGACCAGGATGAGGCAAAACTGACACTGTGTGACTTTTGTGCCCAGGCCTTGGAACCCTGAGCTACCAACTGAAAAAAAAAACCCAACTCCCTGGCCTGCTGGAGAGAGGGAACAGGTAGCCAGCGGCCTCAGGGAATGACAGAGCACAGGAAGAGAGACCCAGGGAGCCACAACCAGTGCAGCCACCCCAGCAGAATCAGCAGACATGCCAGTCACACCAGCTTAATGCCTGCAACCCCCAGTCAAGTTGCTCCGGCTAATACATGTGGACCAGAAGCAAGCCATTGCCACTGTGCCCTAACTGTATTGCAGAATTGTGAGCAGAAAAATGGTGGCCGTTGCTTTAAGCTTCAGAGTTTTGAGAGCTTTATTATGCTGCAATAGAATGTGAGGAGGAAGAGTTTCTAGGCAGGGAGGCAAATTAAAAGACCTCACACACGATCCAGGTGTCAGGTGATGGACTGACAAGTACAGAGAGAGAGAGACAGGGGACAATGTGGGACAACAGTAGGTGTCAAAGTGCAGTGTGACTTGGTGATTGGATGAGGGCAAAGGAGAAGGGGAAATAAAAGATTATTATGACACAGTATATGGCAGCAGTATATCTTGGTGAAGAACTGGATCCTTGAGGATAGTAAGTCCAGTTTACAGCTGTTATTTTTTGATGTAACAGCACAACTTCCATGTAAAAATGCTCCCTTAGCAGCTGGAGACGCAGGCCTGAAGCTGAGGGCCGAGTCGGGGCTGGAGCTGCTAGAGGCTTCAAACAAAAAGATTCAGCCAGCTCTCCTTTTTGTTCCAGACTAAAGGGTATTTTCTCACTCCTTTATTCTGGATTTAGTAGCAAAGATAGAGATATCAAGGGGTTTTGAAGGGGAGATAGGAGGGAGACGACACGTGAGAGAATAAGGCAACGTGGTATTCTGCAGGATTGCACTGTATTTTAGTTGCACTTCTTGGAAGGCTGCATTGCTTAACATAAAAATAGGGAATGAAACATAGACACTCAACTAAAATTATCATGATTCCAAGGTTTGCCCTTTCAATAGACCCAAAAGAAAATAAAAAATCCTAACCTCAGCTTTTTAAATCACAGAAAGGACAAAAGATGCTTTCCTTTATGGATCCTTAAACCTTCAAAAACGGTACTTTTGTGTTCTGAGCTGGACACACAGGGAGCAAGCTGAGAATGCTGAGGTAGTGAGGTTCTGCTGACAGGCCGCACTGCAACTCCCTGTCTGCCAAGTTGTGCACCATTTGTTTTAAAAAAATGAAAAAACATACTTCTAGAGAGGAGAGGATAGTCTAGTGATTCTACAGTGTAATGTCAAGGTGACCTACTCATGCTGTGCAGTCAACTGGAACTGCATTCAGTCACTTATTGTCTGTGAGGCCTTGGATGTGCCCTTATCCCCTCTGAGCCTCAGCCACTTCATCTCTAAAATGGGGAGGAGACTGTCTGCCTCGGGGGTTGTTCTGAGGAGTTACTGAGACATTGTGTGCAAAGTACTTACTCTGGTAAATGCACAGTAAGTGGTACCTGTCATCATTGGAATTAGTGGTAATTTGGGGCTTTCATATATTCGGCCTCTCATCGAGAGGATTTTTCAGAAATTTTTATAAGAAAATGAGGTCCAACTGCATTTTAGTCAATGATTTCAATGTAACAAATGTTTAATATAATGTTGTATAGCAACAGGCCATTTTACGATTTATAGGTATCATTAAGACCTTCCTCCTTAGACTAATGCTGTTGTACACAGACTCTTTACAAATCTTCAGGCAAAACCAAAATTGACATACTGCTTCCTTCTTAATTCATTGTGCATAATTTTGGATATAAGGAAATAAGCAGTGTTCTAATGCAGGATTCAGTAAACTTTTTTCTATAAAAGAATAGATAGTAAATGTTTTAGCTTTGTAGGTCACACATGGTCTCTATCAAATAGTCTTTGTTATTCTTTACAACCCTCTAAAAATGTACAAGCCATTCTAGCTCATACAAAGAGGGTTGTCTTTAACCCACAAGCTGTAGTTTATGGTCCCCTGCTCTCATGTAAATTTGTACTGTTTATTACTAAGGTACCTATGCCCATAAGTATGGGGAAAAAAGAATGAGAAAATACACTAAATAAATATGTAAGCAACTCTCATTTTTATTCTGGTTCAGACATATGCATGCTGGGCTTCAGTAAGGCCATTGATTGTTTTCCTTAATGAGCCAGGACCATTTTCATTGAGAATGCAATAAGGTTAGGTATGAGTTTGAGGACTGGGGACCATTCAGTACATTAGGTATCGACAATATCCTTGTGCTTTGCACACCTTTCTTTCTCTTCCTCAGGGGAGCACTTTGGATACAGGGCTTTATGGCATCAGGCATAAACTGCCATTAAAACCCTAAGCTGAAAATTATGTTGCCCTTTATGAAAATGAACAGCTGGCCAGCCCCAGACTATTGGCTGCCTTCAGATCTGTTTGTGTTGTTTACAAGTAGCTTTAATATCCCTTCCCAATAAGGGGTTTTTCGGACGTTTTCCAATTACTCATAGGAATGGAACCTCCCCAGCAGGTGGTGAGTGTCTCTTCAGCCCCTGTCCCCCGTCTTGTCTTCTGTTTCTTCAGGAACCTATGAGAGAAATATTCTCCTAGAGGCCGTGATTTAGAATGGGCTTTATCTTCACTTTTGTGACTTGTGTCCCAAAATCCTTCCCAGAGACACCTATAGAGTATCTTTCTCCCCTCCCCCCTTTGCTCTGTTTTCCTGACTTTATTTTCTAATGGCTACAGAGATAGAGAAAATGGAGGAATAATTTTAAAACATATAAAATATCCAAAAATATTTATCACTGCTCAGAGCAAATCATATTCTTATCTCTTAATCCAACATGTTTTTAGTAAATCCTATATTTTATGTTTAAAGAGGCAGGCAGAATATGTCCCAGGATCTAAACCTTTCAGTCTTGCCCTCAACTGTTCCCCTGCCACCCCGAGAACACAAGCTCAGGCAGAGGGGCAGCTCGGCCGAGGGCCTGTGTCTGTGGCCTGATGAGGTCCGTCCTCTGTGAGCTGAGCTGGACCATGGGGAATTCCTCCTGAGTGCGCTTGTGTTAATATACCACGGAGCTTGGGGCAGATCAGGGCAAGCAGCTTCCTTCAGCCTAAACCTACTTTGATATCTCACTCACTCAGTGGGAAGGAAAGCTGGCTCAGAAGGAGCATATTTGTCAAGAAAGCCTGAGCACATTTGTCCCAGTGCCCAGGACAGAGCTGACCGGTCTGCCTCTCCTGGCCTGTTTGGGGCCCTTTGCTCCAGTCTTTCTCAAGGCAAGGGTTGAACCAAGAGAGAAAGCACCTTCCAGCCTCCACTCATGCTTAATTCAGTCATTATCCACCCAATACAGATTTAATGAAAAGCTGTCATGTGTCAGACTCTCATCTAAGTACTGGAGACAGAGCAGTGAACGTGAGCAGCAAGGTCTCTGATTGTTTTACTACATACCTTGTTCTGAAGATACCACTCTTCCACAGGCCCTGTCTTTGACTTTTGCTCAGCATTGTGAAACCTATGGGCCTGTGACCAGGGAAAATGTCTTTGAATAGGACTCATCCCCAGCACAGTCCTCCTGGGAAAGGCAGGTCAGGAAGGGTGGTGAGGAGGGAGCTGTGGGCTTCTGTGCTGTTCCTCCTCCGGACAATGAGCTGTCATTCCTACCCCTCTCTGAGTCTAGAATATGGGCTTTCCTGTGTTTCATCCCTAAACTTCATCTAATTCTATTCTGTTTTCCTGGTCTTGGGGTTATTTCCCCTTCCCCTGTATCATGATCTTTAAATTAACTCAGCCTTTGTAGGCCTGGGCTGTCACACTCACTCGTCACCATGTCGTGGCAGCCAAAGGTCACATTGTTTGGCCTGGGAAGTTCCTTTACTAGTCATAGACCAGCTGTCCTGAGCTTTGGCAAACAGATCCTTTCCTCTTTGCTGGGGTCCCCTCTGGTTTATTTTCTGAAGACATTCTGTTAACTCCCAGGCTGAACCAACACTAGTCCTGTATTTGCTGTATCCAGGCTGTCCTGTTCTGATTGATCTACTGTAGTCATTTCTATGGAGATTTCAATTCCTCAGTTAAGTCAGGTTCCTTGACATGTAGGCCCACTCTCTAACTCCCATTCATACAAAGAATAGACTTTTACTATCCACAACAGAAAATGTCATGATTTTCCTGTTCTAAAATCAATATATTCCCAGTACCATTATTTTTTCTCATCCTGCAGCTCTAGGTTTTTTTCTCAGCTTGACCTTGTTCTTCCCCAAGGTCAGATTTGTGGCGCTAGCCCTTCTGCTAGTGCATTAACTTGTAATACTCAACTCAGCATGGTATCAGCATGCTTACCAGTGGTTTCCTGGAGACATACAGCAGAACTGAAATGCTCTCCACTCCACATACATCTTCACATCTCTAGGAGAGTTTGCTCCAGGCAGTAAGTTTGATGGTGGAAGGGGTAGGGGGAGTCATTGGAACGTAGAAACAAAGTTAACATTCTTTCCTTTTCCCCAAACTGCACATAACCTCATAAAGTCAAACAAGATCCTAGCTACCTGTCATTGGTTGGTTTCCTCTTGACCACTGAGGACTCCTCTGAATATGTGTGTGTTGACCCCTTATTATCCAAATGAATCACTTTAGTAGTCAATCCACCTGTAAAAAATTCACATTTTCATATACTGTACTGACCTGAAAGTAGTGAAGTTGTCCGTAAGAGTTGGTTAATAAAAGCAACCAAATTGACACCTCCCACATCTGTAATTAAATGTGTGAAACTAATAAACAGAAATAATACAGATTTTTTTTTTTACCAGTAGTATTGTGACATCGATTTGTATTAAATAATGAAAGTGAGAACTTAAAGAATTTGCTTTACGTTATGGCGCAAATTAACACTCAACTACTGATCTGAAATAGATTTGCATAAGAGTTAACCACTCTCAATAATCACTTAGAGTTCATTTTACCCAGGTATATTAGAACCTCCAGTGATAACAAACAGGACTTACACTCTGCAAAAGAAAATGTTTAAAATAGTAGCTATTTCTTATAAGAGAATCTTGAGATTGGACACAAAATTTGTACATATGGCCTTTTAAATCTGCTTTAAAATTTTCCTTGAGTGTAAACATGAATTAATGCCGCATTAACCTAAGAAAATGAGATAGAAATCAAAGATGACGGGATAACAAAAGTCCGGAAGTCATAGATTTGAAAGATATTAAAATTTCACCTAGTCCATTCCTCTGCAATGGGATACATAGTACCTCTATTTAATGATCTCTGGGGAAGAAAGAAGAAAAAGACCCTTCAGTCCCTTCACCCCTGCCCTAAATACTAGCTCTTCGAAGTCTCTTTATAGCAATACATTGTTATATACGTAGGCAGTTTAAATAACATATTTGTCAGAGGTGATACAGGTGATGATAATGCATAATTACTACTACCATTTTTTATTACTGTGCAATTATGGTCTATGGCAGTAAGAGCAACACCATATATTGAGTGTTTAGATGGGAAGATACTCTCTGAGTCCTTTTTTAAAAGCATTTCTCTGTTAGTAGCCATTGCTATTGCCAATAAAGAAGTAGTGACTGAGAGAAGATAAGTAATTTGCCCAGTTCTACAACTTGTAAGGGACAGAACTAGAATTCAGACCATCTGCTCCAAATCCTCACTGTACCCCTCCCGATCCTGCATCATCATCATACAGTAACTGAATCTACTGGAAAACCCTGCTTCAGTACCCTGTGAGTTTTCTCATCTCTGATTAATTATTTCCAATTTCTAACATTTGTCATGGTGTCATGTTCTAACATTAGTCACTAACGGAGATGTATGATGTACGATTACTTTAAATCCACACACATCAAGACAATAGGCCTAAATGGAAGAAATTAAGGTAGTTGCAATTTCCTGATGAGTAAGCACAAGAATATGTTGCTAGAGGAAGTTGTAGAATTTTTTCTTCTAAAAATCTGAAAGAAAAGCACAAATAAGGTTGTAACGAACTCTAATTTGGACCCTAATTCCTGATTTTGTAAAATGAATGGTTTAGAGTAGCTGTCTCCCTCTGGTTTCCCCCAGCCTTAGCATCACACAACTCTCTAACTTCAGGTACGATTGGACATTTCAACCTTGCAAGGTCTTTTTTAGACTTTTATTTTAATGCTTGAGTGATTCTTGACTCTCTGATTCAGCTCCCCATTCCTGAGTCTCTTTCAAATAGAGATCTCATAAGAACTGTTATTTAATAGTATCACAAATGCACAATGTACAGAATTAAATACAACTGTTCATGTAAGACTTCAGCAATCACAACTGATCCACACTGTATTTGTTCTCTTGTTTTTATTAAGGTGAAACAATAAAACAGTATTTCCTGATTGGGTAGCATTTGAAGGTGCATTATGCATGTGACAGATGGGATCTTATAAATGCATTAAGCATGCTTATTTTAATATCTAAGATTATGCAAAAGTTCTAGAAATATTTTACATGCAAATGTCTGGGGCTCCACCTGGGCCTGTAATAGAAATCTATACTCTGTAACTTCAAAGCTTTAGTCTCGACAACTAATCATTTGGCTATTTCCAAATCAAATTTCTTCAAACAAATCAAAGGCATTTGTCCTACCCAAGAACCAAGTTCTGTGGCAAGTTTGACATTTTAAAATCAAGCTGCTTATTGAGATATTCACACACTGAAAAAGGCAACGAGAATTTCTTTCAAGGGATGAGAAATACCTTTTTTCATGCTCCAATGACTTGGAAATTTGTCAAAGGGGAATTTTATCAAATTTCCTTCACATACACACACATACAGACACACACACACGAACTCACCTTTGCAGCAAGAGCCAGCATTCAGAATTTCAGCCCAAGAGAGCCCTCATTTTTCTGAAAGGTTACGGAACCCCTGAGATTTCATTCCTTTTAGAGCCGTAATCACCATGTGGCTTCTGAGTTGTTAACAATAACACTGATTAAGAGGAGATATTCCACATACCAATAATAAATGGCTTCACAAAGTAGGAATATTTTAAACACCACAGCATTTGTGGTGAGCAAAATAAAGTGTCCAATTTCCAGAGAGCAGAGCAGAGAAGAAAAGGAGAGAATGATAAATAACTAACCTTTATCTAAGGCTTCCTACGTGCAAGGAACCATGCCAATTCTTTTACATGCATTGTTTCATTTAATCCACCCAACAGCCCTCCAAGGAGGTGTTTCAACTCTGGATTTTTTACTCATGAGGGAACAGGTTCAGAGAAATGGAATAACTTGACCAAGTCACCCAGACAAAATACAGATAGGGTTCATTGACAGCCTCTCTTCTTAATTGCTCAACTATGCTACCTACTTTCTGGAAGAGAGAAGTAGATCCTAAAGCCCTAGCAGGAAGCAGTAACTAAAGAACAGGAAGACCGGGGTAGGTTTCCAATAGCCAGTTCTCCAGAGCCCAGATTCACCCTTTGGTTATATGGGTTGGCTCAGAGTGAGCCCTAATAAATATGTGTAGAATGAGTGACTGCATGAGTGAATGCAAGACAATGTCAAACAATTTACAGAGCATTCTGGCCCATTGACACGCTCCCACCGCCACTACTCTCATCCACTCTAGCCCATTCTAGCATCTGTCAGTTGTCCATGATTCTGTAACACAACGTGGCTTCCACTTCCAGAACCAGTGCTAAACAAATTGTGTAGTGAGCAAAATGCCTGTTTGGCAGCCCCTGCCCTTTTTCATTCTTTGCTGGTACTGCTTTCTGCCCATGCTGTCCTTTGTGCTGGCAGCTGGCTATCCAGAACTCAGCAAAACCAGGGCAAAACCCATTCATGAACCTTTTGTGATCATCTTTCTTCTCCTTTCCCTTCCTACCCAGTCAAAACTACAGGCTTTCTGGAAATACCTATTTGTTTGTTTTACTGTCTTCTCCTTTGAATAGTAAGATCTGTGAAGACAGAAGCTGCATCATCCTATTATCTCCATTGTCCAGTCCTGGCACCTGGAATAAAGTAGTTGTTTAGTCAACATTTGTTATTTAAATTAGTGAATGAATGGATGAACAGATGAATGTTTCTACTGCAAGCCATACGTACTTATGAAGATTGCAAGTAACTAGATTCTACAGCATTAATAATTATCATAATAATGTACTTATTTAGAAGTTTTGCTATAGGAAGATACAGTTTCCAGAGGTGCAAGGGTTTGTGTATATGTGTGTGAAACTAATATGTTATTCATTTATTTAATAAATATTTACTGTGTGCCTGAGCTGATCTAGGCAACAGGATATATAATTGGCAACCATCACAATCAAAATACAGTGTTTTTTCCTATTGTCCTTTCACATTTTTTTTATTGGGAAGGGATTCCTTTCTCTGCTGCTGGATGAAAATTCCAGGAGGCTACATAATTCTTCTGTCCACTCATGGGTCAAATGGTCCTAAAATGCCTTGAAGTCACAAAGAGCCTCAGCGCAGTAATTGTGATTTCCAGTTCCACGGAATGCTCAAAACTCTGAACTTGAGGTAACGTTGTCTTCTCCCTCCCCAGGTGGAGCTCTGCACTCAGGGGAGCAGGGGGCTTAGGCCCTTTCTCTACTCTCTTTTGCTCACCTCTTTCCTTACCTTCGAGCTGCTATTTCAGATCTCCTCAACTCAGGATTGCACATGAGATGGGAGGAAGTTAAGGGGATAAATACCCTCACCTCACAAGTTCTTAGATGGCTGTTCTCTGAGCCTGGTAGATGGTTCAAGCTGATATGCCTGGTTGAGGAAGCTTTCATGGGCCTTTCAAGGGTTCCCCAGAGCCCCTTCTTCTGAGTATCCTTATCCTAAGCATGTATGTCTGGTCTACTCTAGATGGTCTCCTGTGGCTCACCTCTCAGCCCTTAGGAGATGGAGAGGACAGATCTGTGTGAGCCTTCTAGGCAAACTTCTTAGGGATGATGTGAGAAAATCCCACATTTGTTCTCTCTCCTGTATGACCTACATCGGCTCCATGGTAAACATTCACACGCCTGCCCTGACTGATCTGGGAGGGTAGACAAGTTAGTCAGGGGTTAGTCAGCCATCAGTCCTCTTCATCTCCTAACCAGGAAATGGAGCCTATAGATCACCCCCCGCCCTGTGATCTTCTGAAAGGTCCCCTCAGCAGACTTGGGTAGAAGTTGGGAGGTAGAGATTCAGCAAAGTCAGAGCTTTCTGATGAAACTTCTTTGCCTGGCATTCCCTTGCATCATACTCTAGACCCTCTTAGATTCTCAAAGTAGGGATTAAATTGTAGGATCCAGAAGGTTTTTGTTTGTTTTTAAATATGGACATGATCTGTTGGTCTCGGAAATTCCCATTAATTTTATATTGTGGTCTCTGTGGCCACTTCTGTTTTTAGCATAACATTATGTAGTATATGTATTTGCATGTCTGTGTATCTTTGTGTCTCAAGTACATTGAATACAAACTTATGGAATGTAATAATAAAATGATTTTGTCACCTCTGTCTTTAAAATAGATTCAGTTTTTCCTCTGTTGTGGAAGAAAACCCAATTTAAGTATTCCCATCGGTTTTCCGGCACTCTTAAATAATAAAAATATTCTGGTCACTTAAAGCAAAAAGTACTGTCATAATTTGGTACTTTAAGTGTCTAGCCCCATGTAATAGTTAAACCTTCCAGTTTCATTTAAAATTCCAGTGACTTTCTTCCCAAAGGACCCACAGCCTGGAAGTGTTACGTGTTTGGTTTCTTCCCCTTTCTTGCTCCTCTCTGCATCAGCGAGGTGCTATTTATAGACCACTTGGAGCTAGAGCAAGAGGTAAGGAGAGGCAAGCTCTTATATGGCCAGCTCTGCTATAAGGGGACCTCATGCCTTCTGGGCCTGGCCTATATTAAAACTTTTCTCTCATAGACCACTGTGACGGGTTCTGCAGTATCCTCCCCCCACACCTTCAGTCCTGGGAACTTCTCAGCTGCACAGTGTTATGATATAGGTGATGATGCTTTTTCCTCTAACTGGTTCCTTGCTCCTTCTATAATCCTGAGGAATGGGGTAGAGGGGGTACCCCCAGCTTCTACTGGATGAGCTTTCCCATCTTAAAGTCACTATTGAACAGAAAGGAACTAACAGAACCTCATTCTGGTTCTAGATTAATCTGAGGCACACACACAACTTTTGTCCCAAGAAACTTGGGGAGACACTGCTTAGGCCATTGTTGACACTGAAAGTTAGATGCCAGTTCACTACATATCCCCAGCTGCAAAAAAGATCCCCAGTTTCCAAGTGTACAGTCCAGGTCTCTTTCGCTTGATTGGATGTGAAGGGGCATGCACTCCTTTGGGGAAGGGACGTCACAGCATAGTTCTTGCTAAAGAAATTCCCCTTCAAATTCTTCCCTCTCATACCTTTTACATTCTGTGTGGCCAGCTTGCGTTGGACTGTGAGATTGGCTTTCGTTATCTCCTTTTCAAGTCTTCAGGCTGGTCTGTCACACAGATCACTTTGGTATCTGGTATCTATGAGAGCTGAAGATTCAGTCTAAACTTCCAACTTCCCATCCTGATATGAATGTACAGTTTGATGTACACTATACCACACCATTTGTGGCATATATTATTTGTTCCTATTTGACAGGTAAGTAAACTAAGGTTCAGGCAAATTATGTAACCTGCACTGTGACTAGGTGGGCTTTCTCTCTCCATAATCTTTGCTCTTCCCCTGACAATGGATTGACTAACTGCCCTTCTAAGAGTGGGTTGGAGTCCTAGGGAGTAAATGAACAAGAACAGTCTTATTGGTGTTCTATAGGCCTACAGAATTACCAAAAGATCCTTATGTTGAATAAATAAAACACATAATTAATGGGGAGTAAAATAAAATAAAACAGTATATTTAATGTTTAATGCTTTAGAATAAGTAGGCTTAGAAAAAACAGGCTTACATCAAAAAGACACAAAAATACAGGCCTAAAAATAGGAGCATAATAAAAATTAAAAAGAAAAAAATATATTATTAGAACTAAATATCTGACTATTTGATAATAAAAACTAAACGTGATTTGCCCATGCTTGAAAGAAAACTGATTAGCAGGAGCTTATCACCAAAAATGGAGCCCACCCATGCCATTAAAGGGAAGACAAGGAAGCAGATGTATAAGCCTGACTTGGGCATGGAAGTAAGCCACACTATAGGACTACCCAGCATAGTACACACCAATTGGGTTTAAAGAAATATGTAAGACTAACAAGTACATGGGTTTGAAATTTTGGAGTACTACAAATCTCTTGCAGGGTAATGTCAGTAATGTCATTCCTAAACTGTGTTTTATCACCTGACTTACCAACTAGCTAGTTTTCCTGAAAGGAAAGGTCACCTCCTGGTGCCCTGGGATCGGGACAGTCTCAGTTGTTCCTAACCCTACGCCTTAATTCACTCTGAGGGCTGGGCCTGTTTGCAGGGAGGAGAGGAGCAGAAAGCTGACATTAGTTTTGTTGACTTATTTTTCAAGTACCATTAGACTTACTTTTATATATCATTTTCTTCCCCATCAAGTTCAATTTTAGATTTTTTTTCAATTGCTCATATCATTCAGCAACCTTTCAAAACTGAACACTATCTTTAGAAGTAAACAGTATCTGTTATAAAACTACTTGTGCTGGAGGTTTTTCAAGTGGCTAGAGAGGTAGATGCTGCTATGTAGGGTTGGCAAGGTTGGAGAGACGTGGCTTACAGGCCAACAAGCCTACAGAAACTGACAAGAGGAAACACTGCAAAATAACTTTCAGAGTGGGATTTGTAAGGCAAGTAAATTTAGGGGATAACAGAAGTAGAATGTGATCTTGTGTAGAAACCAGGGGTAGAAATGTGCAGTATGAAAGACATAAAAGCTATAGCTGTAATCCCTTGACTTGTGGTCTCATGGCCAAGCCTACCCTTTACTCCTGATTTTGCGTTGTGACCTCAAAATATTGATTCCTGATTTTGATTAATCACTTCTCAAGTGTGCCCTGTCATTTTGAAATCTTCTAGTTATCTAAAATGTGAGCCCTCCTGGACTGTCCAAAGAGAATGCCTGTCTCTCTGCCTTGAAGGAGATTACAGATAGATTTCTCATCAATTCAGAATAAAAGACAATGCAAACACTTGGTATGGTTTTTATCTTTTTTTTTTACAGTTTAGTCTTATTTCAAAACATATTTAATATGTATCATTTACTTATTTAGCCCACTTTGTCACTTTAGCCTGTGTATTCAATAAGGGGAGGTACTGAATTCAGTTATTCAGAACTTTTTCAAATCAATACGAACAGACTTAACAGGAACCACCACAAAGGGAAAATGTTGACTATGTGTAGGGCCATTACCTCAGAGGATAGGAGCAGGTTTCTGTAGATGTCCCACACCTCCAGATTTGTTCCCCTTTCTTATCAGAGTTCCTCTGTCATTTCCACCTAGACCATTAGCAGGGTTCTGCTCTGTCCACATTTCTGTAGATCTCTGCAGCTTTATAACGTTTTTACAAATAGAGTATCTGTCAAAATGTCTTGGGATCTTATCCTAACCTTGACTCAGTCTTGGTAGCGAGACTTCTGAACACATGCTTGGTGCCATTTTCCTAATGCATTTCTTATCCATTTTGAAGGCTAAATGATATCCTGGCCACATCCTATGCTTTCTAGAATCTCTACTACCTTAAATACCTA